GGCCAGTTTCTGCTCTAGAGCGGTAGGCACGTCTGGGCTGTTTTCTTCTTTCCCCGTGGGAATGGTACAAGACTGCCTCTGTTTCTCTCCCTTGAAGACTTGGCAGCTTTTTCTGGGTACCTTGATGCTAGGGAGACCCATCCATACAGTTGCAGGGATGTTTGCTGAGAAGACAGAGCTATCAAAGGGAAAATAAACTCCTATGAAACCATCAGTCAAAGCTGATCCAACGGTCAACTCACACGTAAGATAAGTAGCCTGCTTTAACCAGGCGCCCGTGGGGGCCCGGGGGGCTGAGCTCCAGGTGGCTTTTATCACAAGTCCTTTGCAAAAATGAAGAACAGAAGAAGCCCACGGCTATCCCCACTGCCACGATCCCACCCAATGCCCCAGAGCCCCAGAGCCGTAAGCCTCAGGTGTCATGCCCACTGCGCCCCTCGGGGGGACATCTGGCCACCCCGAAGGTGTAGAGAGAAGCAGTGTGTGTTACCTGGGCTCCCACACTGATGTCACCCAGCAGCCCGCTCCCAGGTACTTACCCCAGAGCAGTGAGAACTGACGAGCACCTGCAACCTCTGCCCAGATGTTTATAGACACCTTCCTCATTATCGACCCAAGCTGGGAACAAGCAAATGGCCTTGAAGGGTGAACGGCTACATCAGGTCCCAGAGACACGCCAGCCTCGTGGGTGCCCGGCTTGGACAGCGGCAGATGCGGACTCACTATGGGAGTCACCAGTCACATCATGGCCCCCTCCAAGCCTTGGGGACCGAGGGCCACCACAGTTTATTTTGCTCAGGAGCCTGAAGTTCTGGCAGGACTTGGCGAAACAGTCTGTCTCTGCTCCACACGGTGTCGGCGTCTGACCAAGGCGGAAGATGGACCCCTGGCTCATGGGCCAGTGGCTGCTGGGATGGTGGCCTCCCCCGGTGCGGGCCTGTCTTGGGGGCTGCCTGGCTGTCCTCATGGCCCGTGGCTGGATCCCGAGAGTCAGGGAGTGCACTCTCCCGGTTTCTTTCCCTTTTATTATTTTAGTCCATTTTATACCTCCAGTCTCTGTAAAGTGAGTTACCAACACGAGCACGCCACACTCGTCCAGTCGAAGATACACACGTTACCGTCAACAGGCAGTCCTCCCAGATTGTAAGGCAAGGGTCCACACATGCAGCGTGTCACTCCGTCACGTTCTCTCGGTCAACCAGTCGTGGGCCCAGATTCAGAGGTGACCTAGCCCCCTTCAGTGGAAGGCGTGTCAGAGGAGGTGACCTAGCCCCCTTCAGTGGAAGGCGTGTCGGAGGAGGTGACCTAGCCCCCTTCAGTGGAAGGCGTGTCGGGAGGGTTTGGGGCCACAGACAACCGCTCCCTGCCCACTTTTTTCCTCCAGTGGAAGGCATCTCGGAGGAGGAGACCTAGCCCCCTTCAGTGGAAGGCATGTCAGAGGAGGAGACCTAGCCCCCTTCAGTGGAAGGCGTGTCGGAAGGTTTTGGAGCCACAGCTACACGCTCACTGCCCATCAGTCTTCCTCCCTCCTAGAGACCCGGACACCCGGGCGCGGTGTGCTTCTGCAGACCCTCGGTGAGCGTCTGCGGGAGGAGCTGTGCACCGCCCAGGGTGCCCGCTGCTGCCTCTGCCTCCCCTCGCTGCCCTCAGCCCTGCCCCGGCCCCTGCAGGTTCCCGTGGGAGATGGCTGGGGACCGGGTTCACAGAACTCTGCAGTAGCGTGGACGCCGCTTGGTCGGACGTGCCCTCTGTGCACGCTAGATCCCTGGCGCGTTTTCAGCATGGCAGGGACTGCTTTCCGCACGTATGTCTATACAGCATGAGTGGTGGCCAGGTCGAGTTGCAGGTATATAGAGAGAGGACACGTTTCTCACACAGAGGGCACGTGTGTTTGCCGGAGAGAAACGACGTCTGAGAGAGGTAAAGAGGGATACGAAGCATCCCAGGTAGGGTGTGGTCTCTCACACACCCTTCTCCTCCACCCTGTCATGATGTTGACACGCACACGTGCACACACACATGCACACATGCCTGGCCTGTTTCCCAGCCCTCAGGCTGAGATTCGCACCGTGGTTGGCTGTGGGCCGTGTGTACGTATTTGTGGGAGGGTACGAAGTCTTTCCTGTTCTGACGGGGGTAGGGGTGTGCGAGAACGCGGGGAGGGATGGCAAGGAGTGCAGAGGTGCCTTAGGAAGCAGGTAGGGCCTGAACACCACGCGTTAAGGAACAAACTCACAATATCGGAGGGCCTGTAACTTTCATGATCTCCCAGAGAGAGCTGTGCTTTTTTTTTTTGGAGAGGTTTTTGCTATAGGGTGCGTGCATGTACCAGAAAGATAGAGAGACAGAAAGCAAGAAATCGCCTCCCAGCGGGGATGGCCACACTATAATGCCTTCTCCTCCATTCTCCTCTCGGTATCTTGGGCACACATGCACACACACCTGGCGTGAGTTTACGCCACTGGGTCCGGGACTAGAACCATGGTTGACTACATGGGAGTCCAGCGACATAGCCATTACATCACCTGCTGGTCCCTTAAAGCCAGGTCGCACGCACACCAAAGACATGGACCTGTAAAGTCCGGGACCCCGGGGTCACTGCCTTACGCTCAGTCTTGCTGCTGGTCTCTGGCTGAGCTCAGAGGTGACTGGTCGGGAGCCCCGTACGTCCCGGGGACCACGCGCAGGGGCCCATATGTCGTGGGGACCGCGTGCAGGGCCCTGTATGTCCCAAAGGTCACGTGGAGGGCCCCATACGTCCTGGGGGCCAGTTCACCTTCACAGTTGGACTCCGCGTCGGGGCCATGCTTACATTAAGAGCACCCGGCAGCGACCACAGACCGGGGCTCTCCCCGTCTTGGACAGCTGGTTTACCAGCACACCCCTAGCTACATTTACTTCAAATCCCTTCTTCCAGTCTCTAAATTGCCTTTTGCTCTTGAAGGTGTGTTTCGAGGCACAGACGTTTTAGGTCTGATGTGATCCACTCCATCGAGATTTTCCTTCGTGTTTAGGGCATTCGTAGCCTGTTGGGGAAACCTTTGCCTGCGCCTCTGTGTGTGCTCATAGGATTAGCTAAGCACGATCGGTCTGGAAATGTTAGACTTTGCTTAACTTTGCCCTTAACCTTTCCGTTCGCAAGGGGCTAAGCTGAGCTTTCCATCAAGCCCTCGCTCCACCAGCAGGCCGGGGCTGGGACAAGCGGCATTTCTCAGAGGAGGGGCACCTTTTTCGAATGCTCATAACAACACCATGCGGACTGGTGGGGTCCCTGGCTCTCTGATACCCTTCGTGCTGTGCCTGCCTCCCCTCTGCCATTCCCTGCACACGGCTGCTCTCCGGCCCCCACAGCTTGCCTCCTGCCGTGTCTCCCCGTCTCTGCCTTCTCACTCCCCAGATTGTCCAGCAAAGCCCTTCTCAGATACCTCCTCTAGGCCCCCGGCACCTTCCCATCCGGTATTCCAGTGGGAATGACCCACCACTCCCGCTAGGCTGAGGGTGATGACCACCCCCTGTCTGGATCTCCGGTGAGCTTTGCCCATCGAGGCTGCACGACTGAGTGGCTGGGGAGCCTGCGGGTTGCTGGCTGTCCAGTTCTCAGGTAGCAGGGCCCGTCTTTCGGGCTCACCGGCTCCTCGCCGACCGTCCCTCTTCTGCCCGGCTCCAGTGTGGCCACTTGCTTTTGCTTTAGGTCTGCAGAGCGCAGAGCATTGTACGAGTCATCAGCTCATGCAGATGGCACATGAATCATGTCCGCTCTGGCCCCTTGGACGCTAATGTTCCCTTATTAAGGCATAAGGAAGCCTTCCTGTTCTCATCCATTCTTTAGACTCTGAAAGATTGCTGCCAAGGGTAGCCTGGCCGGGCTGCAGCCCCGCCTTCTTCCCCGCCCCACCCCCGTCTCGCTCTGGCCTGCACTGCTTTTTCTTGAGGTTCGGCTTGTTTTTCTAGAACTTGCCAAATTGCCTTAGGAAGCCGGGTACCTTGTGAATGGATGGAGCAGAGGAAATTCTTATCTTGAAAAGGAAGTGGTCCCCACGTCTGTGATACTCCCGGCCAGTGAGCACTTCTGTGGAGTACGTTCTGATGGCAGTGCTGGGGCCCCAGAGGGGAGGGCGATCGCCATTCGTGCTCAGTACACAGAGGGAAAGTACCTTCCACTTCGTCTGGGGAGAGACCAACAGCCACTTCGAATGTCGTTGTGCCCAAGTAAACAGCCTTCACCGTTGAATCCCACCAGCGATGGAAGTGCAGCCCTCCGTAGGAGGCATGCCGTGTAACACATCCTCGTTTCTTTTCAAACTGAGCCCGCAGAGCTGCGTTCTGATGCTGGTGCATTTCCACTTCCGGTTTCTCCGACCCTGTCATTAGTGTTCAGCGAGTTTTCATTTTGGCCTAAAGTGACTGCAAGCGTGCGAGCACACTGCCATTTCCTGCGGTTCGGTCTGAAAAAGGAGAGAAGGGGCCCAGAAAAATGCCACCACCGACTTCGAGACATGTTTTATGGGTCTTAATTCCTGTCTACGTTCTTACCGCGGAGGGTCGCAGGCCTCCGGAGTTTGGAAACTGCAACAGCTTCTCTCGCAAGGAGCACAGGAGGGCGCGTCTCCTGGGGTTTTGCAGTTGGACTGACACCCCGGCATGCCATGTGGCTTTTTGGATCGCATTTTTAAAGCCATGTATACAAATGACAGTGGAACCGAGGTGCTCTGAGTTGATTGCTTTTTCCTGGGGGAGGGTAAGGTGTAAAACAGGTATGCTTTTGGTGTCATTTAAGGGTCACGGGCCGGCTGGAAGTGGCATTTTCACCTGAAGAGAAGCCGGCCTGCTTACTGAGCATGGCCCGCCGTGTTGGAGTGACGTGTTAAAGGCCATTTTCGGTTACGTTAGGGCAGAGGTCCTTCGGTGCCCTTCAGGACCATGAGGGGTCTTTCATGCTGTGGTGGCTAAACGATACCTCTGAAGACATGGTCACCGTGCCCTGTTTTCCCTCCTGGCAGCTGCTGAGATGGGTTGCGGACTGAACAAGTTAGAGAAGCGCAGCGAGAAGCGGCCCGGGAATATCTACTCGACTTTGAAGCGGCCGCAGGTGGAGACCAAGGTGGACGTGGCCTATGAGTACCGCTTCCTGGACTTCACGACACTCAGCACCGGTGAGTACTCGTGGCTCACTGCCACCCCCACCCGAGGGCAGAGTCCCAGTGGGGCTCCCCACCCCATGCCGAGGGACCGGACAAGCCCTAACTGGGAGGCAGGAGTGGGGGGCGAGGCACTGAGCAGGGCAGCCTGCCCGAAGCGGATGGCTTACAGAAAGATTTCTGGGTGAAACTGCTCGCTTTCTGAAAGATAGCAGCTAATGACAGCAACTACAAGTTACAGCTGTAAGTGAGTCGAGCAGTACACCTGGGGAGGCTGGCTCTGGCCCCCGGGTTGACAGGTTTATAGACAGCTTCATGGAAACCCCGCAGAAAAGGAAGGCTCGCCTCTTCTCCTCCCGCTCACCTGTTCACCTGGATCCACGGCACGTTGTCTGCCATCTTTCATGACGGATTGTCCATCTGGGCTCTGTCTCGGCTGGGCCCGAGGGACTCCCTATCACCCACCTCTAGCGATGAGCGACCAAGACTTGGGGGGCTGGGGGACTGTGGCGTGAGCTCTCGTCCCAGAGTATTTGCTGATACCCGCCGTGTGCAGGGTGGGGCTGGCGAGGGGAGTTGTGAGGTGTGCCCTGGTTTCCTGGAGCTTCTTACCTGCTGGGAGAGAGACCCAGGTCTGTGCAGACAGAGCTCAGCAGTTTGCAGCGGCAGGTTGGAAAACATGCCAAGTGCGCTTTTGGAAGAGAGCGCGTGCACTCTTCTTTGGGGGAGTCCCAGGGAGTTGAGAGTGGAGACGGCTTTACATAGCAGGGCATCGAGGACGGGCTGTGCTCTCTGGGCTCTGGGTGTACTTGAGGCTTCCATATGAACTGGAAGGTGAACGAAGCCCTCACGTCCATGGGGTTGAATCCTGGCTCTGCACTGACACGCAGACCTGCCATGTCCTCATTCATGCACAGAGCCCGTGGGCAGCTGCTTTTCAGGGCAGCTGGGAAGACGGGCAGAGGGAAGGCGTGTGAAGCGCTTCACACCACACCCAGCACACAGTAGGGGCTCCCCCACCTCCTCCTGCTGGCACTACCCTGGTGCTGGGGGGCTGCTTCTTGAACCCTGAGAGAGGCGGGCTCCGGGCGTCTCTACAGGGACATTTCATGTAGCCCACACGTCACCAGACGTCAACCCAGCATCTTCCGCATCCGAAGGATTCCCTCTGGTGTCCTTGGAGAACAGCGTCACCATGTTCAACAGCCAGCCTTGACACCTTCATCACCTGTGGCTGTGCCTCCTCACCCACAGTTTCCGTTCCGTCACCCAAGCCTATTAAAACCTTGCCTGAAAATGCTTTTTCCTTACATAGAGATTTTGCTATAGGGCATGTGTGCATGCTAGAGAGACAGAAAGCAAGAAATCGAGAAATCACCCCCCAGGGCCACGCCGCAGTCCCTTCTGTTCCATTCTCCTCTCAGGATTTTGGGCACGCACGCACATGCACCCAGCGTGAGTTTCAAGCTGCTGGATCTGGGACTTGAACTGTGTTTGACCACCTGAGAGTCCAGCGCCTTAACCACTAGCCACCTGCTGGCCCCAGAGTGCTTCTAATACGCTTACTGTGCACATTTGGATGGCATTTGGCCACCCGTTTCTGTGTTCCGGGAGTGTCTGAGTGCCTAAGTGTGCTGGGCATTGTGGGGTGATGAAGGGAAGAAAAAAGGCACATCTAGGTAAGAGATCGGAAGGCAGTGCATGCCACGGTGCTAAATACTGATTGTCACCGGATTGCCGACAGCCCAGGGCAATGCTTTTACTGTCTTACTTTTTTTTTTTAATTTTTTTTTTTTTACTTTGTGGCTGTCTTTCTTTTCTTACTAAGAAGAGTAATTTTGCTCAGGAAAAGCTCCATGGCCCCCTGCCGCTCGGTCTCCCTGGGCTCGGGGCTCCATCCTCCTCTCTGAATCACTCCCCACCTCCTGTCTGCCTGCCTGCTCCCCTGCTCCAGCTGCGGCAGGCACATGGGTTTCCGCATTGCACCTTGACTGGTGGAGTTATCTGTTGTCTTCCGATTACAAAATGAACACACGTCCGTACCCATACTAAAGAGCTAGGAATCACCGGGACCTCCAGGCCTCTCTGCCCTGCCCTTGTCTTCCTGCAGGTCACATCCCGCCTCCCAGGACTGGCACCGGCTTCCCTCTGGACTCATTCTCTTTGTCTTTTGTGTTCTGCTTATTCAGCCTTGCTGTTCTGGATCCCCCAGGCCTCCTCAGGGCTTTTGCACTGTCTGTTCCTCTGCCTGGAATCCTCCCTGCATGTCCCTCGGGTCCTCGTCCTAACCCCTGTCTCTCTGGAAAGTTCCTCGACGGTCTGTTTAAAATTCCTGCCTCTCCCCCCACTCCCGTCTCCCACGCTCTGGGTTTCCCGTAGCCTGTCTTACCACGCGCCTTGTCACGTGCTCTGTGCGCTGTCGTTTTCCAGCTTGTCGTCTGCCCTCCTTCCTTAGGGTAAGACTCCTGCTCTGAAGCCCAGGGTCGGTGCCCGTAGTTCCCGCCGCTGGACCTTCAGTGCAGAGAACGGTGCCTGGCACTTAATACTGGGTCATCGGAACAGTTGTGACACATTCAGGCATAGAGAACCAGAAAAGCTTGTCACGACTGTTCCGACGACCCAGCAAACACCCAGTGGTATTGTCTGAAGGAGTACTCGACGCGTATTCTGTGCCCTGCGTTCCGGAACTTACCATTTACAGTGAGGCACCTGCCGTCGCCTGTGGGCCCTACACGCGCGATCCAGTCTCTCGGCATACCGTGCTTTACCTAGCGGTCCTCTTTGTTGGACATCTTGGTTACTCGGGCTCTGGCCTGTTATGGACAGTGTTGTGGTAAACAACGTCGTACATCAATCTTCGTGCCCGTTTCTGACGGTTTCCTCAGGAGCAGCCGTCCAGTCAGGACTCTTGATACATTGCCACATTGGCCTCTAGATAGGACCACTGTGAAAACCCGCACCTGGTCACGCTCAGCTCTGTGGCAGGTCCCCTGGACAGACGCCGCTGAGGGTCAGGTGGGTGTGTGGGGCTTCCCGTGGCGGGCCCTGTCCTCTGTGGGCTCTCCCGCTGTCCCTGGGGAGCATGTGCTGGGCTGTGGTCAGGTCATTGCGGGCACCCCTCCTGCCCAGGCCGGGATCCCGCCGCCCCGGAATCGCTCTCCTGCACGCCTGTCGTTTGTCACACCGTCCTGCGACACTTTTATTACATTGTCTGTTAAGCCTGTTTTGTTCCCTTCGGGGCAGAGCCCGAGCCACGTTCCTCTCCCGTTCGCTCGCACTTTCCAGCTGGAAGTGCCCACGCTGCACGGGCGGCCCTCGTCCACTGCGATCACGGGCACGTCTGCCAGTCTCCCCAGCAGCCTCTGTGTCCCCCGCGGCCCCCCTGAGGCTCTCCAGAGCGGGGCCCAGCTTGTTCATCACTCTGTGTGTCACGTCCTGGATGGGACAGGCCGGTCCTGACTGCACGCACTGCCCTGTGTGTATTTCAGGTTTCAGGCTCTGGGTGTCGCCACCACACCAAGACGAGGACTTTTTTTTTTTTTTGGAGAGGTTTTTGCTATAGGGCACGTGTGCTCGCTAGAAAGACAGAAAGTGAGAAGGGGGGAGCATAGTCAGGAAGGAAACTTTGTGCACTTAGGAAGAAATCAGCACCAGCAGATGGCGTAATGGCTATGTCACTGAACTCCCACGTAGTCGACCATAGTTCGAGTCCCAGACCTGGTGAGCTACTCTTGTGTGGACGTAGGTTTTCGTTTCTGTTCATGCTGTCTGTGGTGTGGCCTTGTCGAGTTGCATAGTAAATGTAAAAGGTAAAATGGATTTACCTTTCTCAGACACTGTCAGACTGGTGTTCAACATGGGTGGATCACTTTACATTTCCAGCAGAAAGGTGTGAGAGTTAGCAGCTTCATTTCTTCCCACGTAATAAATACCACTATGTACTCAGCACCTAGCGTTACACTCATCACTTCTCAACAAACCAGTAACTACCTGAAGAGGTGGGCAGTGGAGAAAAATAAATTGAGCGGCCGAGTCTAGACAGATTATAAAAGTAACTTGCTTCTGGTCATCAAGCTGTTGGAAGTTTCCAGAACATTCTGTCATCTTACTGACGAGCAAAGCCATCGCTGTGGGCTCTCGAGGTTCCTGAACCTCCGGTACCCCTTGGTGGATTTAAACTAAATTGGAGGGCTTCGACACGAAAAGTTCAGAAGTCACTTAGGCTCTCTTGCCCGCCTTTCTCCAGCTGTCTTTATTTCCCCTCCGAAATCCCTGCTTGTCGAACGTTCCCACAGCACACCCACCATTTCTAGGCTCAGTCCACGGGGCCACATTTTTCAAATTCCCGTCTCTGTGGTTTTCCTGTCTCAGAGGTCTGCGAGAGCTGACCTCTGGGATTTTTCTTCACGTTGTGCTGACCAGGCTTATGCCTCGGCGTGGCTGCCAGCATTCTAGCCTGGAAATCTGTATATAAATGTTGGGTGGTCATGATAACACAGGATGACATTCATTATTCAAAACATGCATATTGCGCAATGAATCATTTCAGGGCCCAGCTTTTATTTAACTTCCCATCTGGATAACGTTAGCCCTAGACACAATTGCAGAAATAGCTGATACTTATTGTCTGTGTAAGTCGTCTTTTCACAGCTGGGAAAAAAGACTAATCTACAAAGATGAGTCACCGTTTATGTTACGTTCTGAAAACTAAGAAATTAAAGTGCTGGGACCAACAGGTGGCGTGGTGGTTAAAGTGCTGGACTCCCACATGGTCAACCACGGATCAAGTCCCAGACCTGATGGCTTGAAAATCACACTGGCGGCATGTGTGTGCATGCCCAGAATCTCAGGAGGAGATGCAAGAGAAGGGATGGTGGAGATTTCTCATTTTTCCTCTTATTGTCTCTCTCTCTCTGGCGAGAGCACATACCCTATGATAAAAACCTTTAAAAAAAAGAAAAAGAAAAAGAAATTAAGGTGTTCTCCGGTTAAGGATCTGGGTGCCCGGTGGCTAG